GGGAGCTCGGCCGGCCCAGACCCGCCGCCGGACCCTGGCTGTCGGGCGAGGGCATGTGGCGGCGCCCTGAGGGCCGCGGTCCCGCGAAGGCGGCCCCGGACGAGCCCCGTCCCCCTCCCGAATGCTACGTTTCCTTGAAACTTTCCACGGTTGGCGACTACTCAGCTGTGAAGTGTTTTGGAAAAAGTGAGCAAAATCCCCTCAGCTATGCGACCGGGCCGCGTGGAAGGCCCGCGCTCGGAGCGGCGGAGAGGGCAAGTTCCAGAACGCGGCGCTCTCCTTCCTCGAAAGTCGCTTTGTAAACGTACAGTATGTCAAATAAATATTTTTTTGAACAGCAGTGATTCCCTCAACACTAGTTTGCTTGAGAGAAAAATACACTTTCCTGTTTTCAAAGCTGCTTCATCGCGTTAAAATGGAAGCATCCGAGTAGTGGTTCTCTCCGCCGTTCCGGCCGGTGTCGCTTTGCCCGTCTGTCCTTTTGGACTTGTGGGGAAAGGGCCAAGGATCTGACCATCTCTGAGGTTTTCTCCGAGCCTACAGATACATTCCACGCAACGATTAAAAAAAAGTTACGAGAGGATTTCTTGGAACAGGTAGGTTTAAATGCATCGATCCACAAAAGTTAAGGGGACGATTTTCATGAAACAGGAAGGGTGTGTGTCAGGTGCGTCGTGAGCTAATCACCAGATTTAGTAATCTAATGAATCTTAAAATACTGCACGAGATTAGTAATTAGGAAGCCTGGCTGTACCTACAGGATACGCGACCTTTGGCACGTCACAGCCTTGCCATGTTTAAGTTCTTTCTGTTTGCTCTTTAACAGGAAGAACGTGGAAAAAGCCTGTTGTGTAAAGCACTGAATCACATTAAAAAAAAAAAAATGTTAAGGCAATTGCAAATTATTTAGAGGACTTATTGCTACTTCATGTTCCCTGTCACTAAAATTTGACGGGAGTGAAAGTAATAATATATTCATGAAAAGGAACATCAGGTTTTGTAAGAAAGACAACAAATACTGCCGTTCCTGTCTGACGTATCAGTGACGTAACCCTGAATAGTCTCCCATCGCTTAGATATAAGTAGTTATCAATTTCAGTTGCCTCCTTTCTCTCAACCACATTAAGTTATTGACAAATCCAGTTACTATTTTTCTTCTGGTTTTTTTCTTAGTTTCTTTGATTTTTCTATGAAAGTTCTTTCCAACGATTAAAGGTTTAAATACTTTACTTAAATATAAAAAACAAACCTAGTAATAGATTACTTCCTAGAGTGTCTCCTTTCAGGGATGAGCTGGTAACAATGGACAGGCATTACTCCTAACATTTAGAAAAACTTAGTCTGCTGAAATGTAACCCCTCTTTGAGAGGACCATTTGAAAAGTTATAGACAGCTACCATAAATAGAATAGAAATGTGACTCACTAATGCTTTCATTCGATTCTTTTTTTTCATCTTATATCGTTTTTTAAATCTTTACTGATTGTTTTTAACCAAATACAACTTTGGAACTATGAATTGGAGTGAGTTACTATTTCCCTTAGGTTAATTATTCACCTAGGCAGTCATATCATCATATAAAACAAAATATATCCCTATAAAAACATTTTATACACATGTAATAGTCCACCAAAATAGCTACAAATAGCAAGTGGCTCTCCAGATTGACACATGGCTGGGCTGTCAGAGCTACTCTTAAGACTTCCTCTTTGCTACTAGGCTAAGGGCAGCTAACCTACCATGGGTTGTGGTCTCAGCCATTGAAAAGGTAATCAGCCATCACAGGAGAACTTGGAATGCACACACTTTGTTTTTATTCCAACCAGAAGCACAGTTCTTGAACTTCTATGTTCTTTTGAAGATTAAGAAAAGGCTAATGTTTTAAGATCATAATACAACCTATATGTAAGCTCCAGATCTTGCCCTTCACAAAAACTAAAAGACTATTGGTTGACCTAGAGCTAAATAGAAAATAATTCTACTTTGACTAACAGCTTATAAGAGTTGCCTAAATTTTTTGGGTTTTTTTGTTTGTTTGAAATTCTCTTTGGAGAATAGAGTAAGGTTTGGGAAACCTGTAAACAAGCTTTTGCTACTACTTCCCTTTTTTCTGTTAATTTCCTGCTTTAACTGGCCAACTTCCTAGCCCCACCAATAAACCTTGCCAAACATGACTTATTTTTCCAAAGCTGAATTTACATTTGCCTTAAAATAAGTATTCTAAATACCTCATCTGTAAAATGGGGATAATACTGGTATCTTATCTCATAGGGTTCTTGTGAAGATTCAATGAATTAATACATGTGAAGCACTTAGAACAGTGGCAGTAGCACTTTGTGTCAGCTATAATAATAATTATTAATAGCAATAATGACTATTATTATTAATAGCAATAATAATAATTACTCTCATTATTCTATGAGTGAATAAATTTTGTTGTGCGATGTGATTAGTTGTCAGGTCTATTATTGAAAAGCCAAACTAGGAATTGTTTTAAACATCTAATCATAAAATATCACTTAAAAAGAAGCTAGCTTCCTAAAATGAGATTCTTTACTTCAGTTCTAGAAAACAAACCAAAAATTTCCAGTGTCTTGAAATAGCAAGAGACTGCTGCAAAAACAGTCAGATTAAGCAGAGCTGGGCTCAGTGCCCCAGGTACCAGCTACTGACAAATAACTTTTTAAAAGTACTAAAGAAAGAATAACTGCTAGTGAAAAACAACAACAACAAACTTGCCTGAATACACGTCATATACAATTAAATCTAAAAAAATCTTTCATTTGCTACCTATATAAAGTAAACCTCTTTTCCGTGCAACCTCACACAAAAATGGTGAAAGAAATTTTCCTCAAATTTGAAGAAGCTATTTGAATGGTCTCATTTAAAATACTAACTACATGAAATTTTTTTTCTTAATATATCTTCATTGATTTCTGAGAGAGAACAGGCGAGGGAGAGAGAGAGACAGAAACATCAATGATGAGAGAGTCACTGATCAAGCCCTCAACCTGGGCATGTGCCCCGACCAGGAATCGAACCCCGATCGCCTGGATCCTAGGTCGACGCTCAACCGCTGAGCCACGCCCAGCCGGGCTATTTTGAGGGTCCCCTCATAGGTGGAATGGGAGTGGGGTGGAAATCAGTTATTTTTCCTTCATTCAGAATGATATAGTAAAGATTTCAATTAGCTCAGTTTATAAGTTAATATTGTTTATACTTAGATCACAATTATATGCATAGACCCTCCATATGTTTATTGATTTTTCAAAGTGATTTTAATTCTAGGCATGTGTTTTTTGCTAAATTCATAGAAAGCATTAAATTGAACTAACCCCCATCCCAGAGATAAAAAAGTCTTACTTGTATATCAACAAAACTTTAAAAACTTTTCAATTTTATAAATAATCCAAAAGTCAGTCAAAACCATACCTGTCTGAGAATGAAAGCAACCTCTGTGATAGATTGTATTACTGTTCCCAAATATTTTTGTCTCTCTCAATGGCCAACATTACCTCCCAACCTTGGTGAATGGCAGGCTTGGCCTTATGCCTTCATTTGTTCAATGAAATGAGAAAGAAAGTGATGTATACTACTGCTGAGCAGAAACTTCAAGAATAATTGCTTGGTTCTGTCATATTTTTCTTTTATAACAAGAACAGCATGTTCCACAAAGGGGATGCTCCTTCATCTAGGTCCCAGAACGTTTGAACAAATCTGAAGATGACTTTGACTAACCAATAACATGAAGAAAAATAAACCTTACTGTAAGTAATTTTAATATGGGGGTTATTACCATCAAATGACTTGACTTAGCTTGACCAATAATATATCATTCAACTTGAATGAAGACTTAGCAGTCACGAGACCAACAAGGATCACAAAGAGAATTTGAGAACTCTAGAAGATAGGCAGTAGACCTCCAGAGCAGTTGAAACTTAATACCACTGAGAGAACAGTCAGAATAGTCATTCTCTTTCAGGGTCCATTAAAACCAAAGTTTAGGTAGGAGATGTTTGATTGATATTTCAACATTCCATACATATTTGGACATTTAATTGGGGGAAATTAGCAATTATTTGAAGAATGAACTCTAACTTTCCAATGTTATTTCAGCATCTGAAATTTCTCATATTTTTAAACCCTGAAAAAGAAAATTGAGCCTGGACTTTTGCCTATTTATGTTCATCCAAAGGTAAGATCATACTGCCAATTCAGAAACCAATTACTAAACTCCACTGAAATCATTATTTATAAAGCTAAATTCAGACATTTGAAAAAAGCATCAGAGTCCACAGTAATGTATTCCAGGGTAAAAAGGAATCAATATTCATCCTCTGTATAGCATGGATTCCTCAAACTATATCTTTACTTTTCAAGCATCTGACATTTACAGTCAGTATCTGATTCCCTCTGTCCAGTTATAAGTCACAATATGGAACTCTACAACAGAAATATTAATTCATGATAGAGCTGCTTCTCACAGTGACAATGCCATGTGGTGTGTGTTCTAAGGCAGAATTTTATTTATATGCACTCCAGATAATAAAAAACAGTGTGATGTATAAAATATCTCTTTAGAAACAACATAAATGATCATCAGTAGGAGAATAGAATAAAATAATATGACACTTCCATACAGTGGGATAGCATAAGTTATTTAAAATTGATGATCCCCAGTATCATGTATTAAAGTGGATAAGTCTCAAAAACAATGTTGAGAAAAAAAAGTTACAGATTGATGTGTATATTATGATACCATGATTATAAAATTGTAAAACATGAAAAACAATATAGATTTATACAGATGTAGTTTAAAAGTTTCAAATATGCATAGGAATGATAAACATCAAATTTAGTGTAGTGATTATTATCTCTATTGAAGATATACATAGAGAGCTTCTACTGTATTTGTAATGATTGATTTTTTTTTTTTTTAAATCTGAAGCAAATATGGCACTTGGGTAGTTGATTACAGGTGTTTGTTATATGTTCTTTTTCTCTATGTTTGAAGAAGCTTTATTATGATGCTGAAAGCCATTATTTTTCTCTAATAATTGTAAGTGTAGAAAATATTACAAATCCAGTATTCAATTTTTAATGGTTCTTCTTAAACTTTATTTAATTTTGCCTAACCAATGCTGGGTGATAAAACTAGTAAGCAATAAAGCTACCCTGTAAATATATTTCAAGAATGCAACCAACAGACAATATCCTTGAACTGAAGACTTTACAAAAGGTAAGAATGACTAATATTTAAATGAACTTTTACAAAAAAATTATTTGGTTCTTGGATATATTTACAAACATAAATATGAAAGTAATTCATTAATCAAATACGAATAAAAATATATCCTCTCTTCCTTTGAAGTTAAAAAAGCTATTTCTCTTTGTAATGCTACTGTTAGGGATAGGTATCAATTGCTAAATTTTATGGCTATAGAAATGATAAGTTAATAGGCCACGCAGCCAATTAATAATAAAGTTGGCAAAGACACACCCTCAAGCTAAATGTGGCCCTTGCCCTCATTTCTTTTGAACCATTGGACAAATGCCTACAAGAGATATGTTTATGCAAAAACACCACAAGGATCATAAAAATCTTTGGGAGTAATTTTCCTAATGAGAGGCTCAATAGTTCAGAATGAGACAGGCTAGTCAGCGAGGACAGGTGAATAGGGAAACTGAGACAGTAAATAGCAGTTTGCATCCATCTAGACAATCTAGATGCCAAGTAGTTTGCAGCCATATAGTAAATCCTATCTCCCCTAAACCAGGGACACTTAAGAGTAAATGGTTTGTACTTCTCTTCCCCAATCAGAGGGTAAATACCTTAAATCACCCTACTCAGGGAGACAGCAGAAATCCAATTAGTGCCAGTTGCCAACCACACCCAAGGACAGATGAAGTTAAGAGAATAAACCACATTTTGATAAGTCAGCATAAAGCTGATGAATATTCTATTGAGATCTTCCCCTTTATAACGGCCCTTTTACCTTCAAAACAGCCATTTGAGATGGGCAAGTAGGTACAATCTCGTTTTACAGGTTCTTTCCTAAGAACTCAGCTCAAATGTAATTTCTTCTGGGAAGTCTTCCCTGACCTCTCCAGGCAGAGTTAAGGGGTTCTTTCTCTCTATATCAGGGTTTGCTTGGTAACATCTTCATTTATTGTGTCACTCTAATTATTTGTGTACACCTATCTTCGAACTAGACAAGAGGATTTAGTTTAATTTTCGACATATCCACCATCATTTTGAATAATATCATTTTCAATCATGTAATTGAGGCTGTAATATAACATAGATGTTTATTCACTAGAAAAATAAAAGAAGTATATTAAAACAAATGAACCTTTCAAAAATGTTTTTTGAGTAAATTTATTATTTATGATATTTCACAAAGAGAAATTTTTAAAAATCAAATTGCAAAAGGACTTTATGGACACCTTGTTTTTAGTGACTGTCTACCTGTGTCAACCACCAATGAGATTACATAGATTAATAAAAAATGGTCTTTTGCTTTGAGGAGGTAGATGAAACACAGATACATAGACTCCTAATTAAAATATAGTATGCTGGGTGCTATAAATCTTATGTATGTATTTTAAATGGGTAAAGATGATATAGAAATGAATTCTAATGATGGAGATCATGGAATATTCTAGAAAGGAGGTGACATTTGGTAGGTAGAAATCCAAGTGTATAGATTGACAAGGGTATTCTTTCAAGAACAAAAAAGAGTGAAGTTCAATGGTAGGTTCAGGAACTACAAGTAATGTAGTGTGTTTTTATTAGCACTCTCCATTAAATATTTCCCAGTCTCTTTCTGTGTAAAATTGCACATCTGTACTCCCTTGAAGTTGGATGTATCCAGGCAACTTGTTTTGGCCAGGGAAATGTGATTATAAGCTTAAAAAGCCAATGCATAATTTTCTACTCTCTCTTTTCCTGTAACTGTTAATGCTTAAAGCTGTTGGCTGCGTTGTATACCAGGGTATTTAAGTTCAGAGAAAGAATCTTTGTCAGTTTAAGCTTCTGTGATTTGGGGACTGTTTGTTACCATAGCAAAACTTATTCCATTCTGATTGATCCATTCATTATGAGAGGAAGGTAGAAGAAAGAGCAATGGATCATAGAGAAGCCAGTCCTATTGGTAGCATATATGAAGGTCAGTTTATAAAATGACCATTTACCTAAAAGTGTGTGTCCAAAATATTTGAATCAGTGAGTAAACATATTTTATGCTTTTTCGATTGAATGCAGTTTCTTACTAGCTGTTCTTATTTTCAACAACTAACTATAAAGCTGACAAATGTAATGAGTCAAGAAAAAGATGTCTTCGTGATCCATCCTTTATTCATCTTACAGTTATATAGTCACTGACCTATGTGTTCCAGGTAGAAAAAAATGTCCAGAGACATCTGCAGCCTTGGTGTATATTAGCTAAAGTTGATATAGAACACTAGATGTTACTACATTTCTACTGTAAGAGGCATGATACAAAGGAGAATGATAACAATTTGGAGAGAGAGAGGTTTAGATTCTAATTCCAGCAGGTTGTGCTGCCTCCATACAGTACTGCCTTCATGGGTTTTTACTTTCTAGGTAACAATGTATTTTAACAGGGGTTTCTAGAAATGATGCTTTAATCCAAGAGAGTGACTGAAATAGCGAGAACTTGACATCACGTGACAGGCAAAAACAGAACATTTGTGTTGGTTGGCACATGAGCTTTGCTAACATCCTACCTGGGAGGAAGAGCTAAGAGACAGTAGATACTGTATAGGTAAGTTTGTGTAGTCAGAGGAGGAAATGAGGTAGTAAAAGGTCTAGACATGAGAGGTTGTTCTAAATTGTAAACATGTAAGGTCAAGTGTCTATGAACTGGTTGGAATACATATTTTAAGATACCCAAAACACTGAGAGAAATACCAAGGGAAAAAGAGAGGATATGGAACAAAGGTGGAGATAAACTTAGTCTCCTTTATTGTTGTAGTTTTTTTCTCAATAATTTGTGAAGGAGGCCAAGTTAAGTGCCTCAAGTGTGTAACTTGCTAGAGTCTGCACACATGTTGAGAAGGAAATCAAGTCCTTGCACAGTGAAAAGTCCAATAAATAAATTTTAAGTCCAATTCTGAAGACCAAATTTGTTTATTTAAAAGTTTAATAATGTATATAGATCTCTACAGGCTTTCTGAACTGAGAGTCAGGCAACTGGAGTTCTATCTCCAGCCTGGCCATTCTCTAGCTGGTTGACCTGGGTAAGGGTCTTGGCCTGTCAGTGCCTCAGTTCCCTTGCCTATAAAATGGAAGCTTAAACTAAGTGACCTCAAAGGTGTTGTCAGAGTCTCAAATGTGATCCTGAGTACTGGTTATATGCCGGTATGGCTTTTATCTGGAGATTTTTCGACAGTTACTGATGAATTCTCACGTCTGTTGTTTTTCCAACAGATATTATGGGTATTAATTTCAAGGGGACACACTGCAAATATCAAACAAGGTTAAAGAATGTTTTAAGTCCAGTGACTAGACAAAAGCTATAAACACCTAGCACATGACAGTTTTGCAAGAGCAATAAAGAGTACACACACCTTTAGGTTAATAACTGAAGTTACTGTTAAAGTATGGTATGAGAAGAGGCAATCGGATATACACAGCCAAGAAGCTCAGGGCCTGGGTGGGAACTTGTCCCAATGTGTGGAAAAGTGTCTCTTTAACCTGGTTGGTACAACTTTCAGTGGGTTTTTCCCTAGTGGTACATATTATTAGAATATAAAGGCAACTATATTTGAAGGTCATTCATACACAGTGTAGCTGGCTGGTACCCACACCCATGGTAGGGGGCTCTGTAGTTGCTTAGCGTGCACATGCTCACTGTCATTAGAAGCAGCTGTTGGCTCTAAAGAGCTCTAGCAGCCAGACCTCTCCAACAGTCTCCAGGACAGTCTTTTGGTGCAAACCTTAGTGTGTGCTTTTAGAGAGTCATTAGCAAAAGGAGATAACCACAAGTGTAAATAGAAAGCAGGTGGATTGGTACAAATAGTGTCACGCAAATAATTTTCGAGTCAATTACTGTAGGGTTTTTTTTTGGCTGGGGGGTTACTTTTTAAGGGGTTGGGATATCTAGGCTCCACTTATCTCTAAATAATAAAACTCTTTCACTCCTAGCAACCACTTCCTGGAAAACAACCTGA